TACTGTGATCAGCATTGTCAAGAGGCATGAGTTTAAGGGTTTGTTTCAGACTTTATGGAGTTTTGTGGTGCTTTAAACCAAACTTGTATTGAACACATTGGTTCCCTGTTTAAAGAAAGGAATATCCGCAACCTCAGGTTAGAAAAAACTAAAACTGAAAAAAAGAAAAACATTTTAATTTCAGGAAACTGATGAGAGGTCAACAACAACAATACAATGTTGTTAAGATTCAGGTGATCTCCAAGTCTGCTGTTTGAAATTACAGTGAGTTTGAGATCAAGCAGAACAGCAGCTCCATTATTCTCTCATTATCTCATTCTTTATGATACTGTAATGATGTGTCTGGCAGGAAGCTGCTGCGCTGACAGATGTGTCTGTGCTCCGGAGCACACAGGTGCAGGTAAATACCTGGCCCGTAACTGAAACTGCTTCACAGCAACAGGTGTATGTCCAGAGTTGGTACGATTACTCTGTGCCAGGCCAGAGTGGGATTGATTCCCCCGCTGGCCGGTGTTCACACTAATGCTCCGTACCCAAATACCAAAAACACAGCACTTGTTTACATGGGAACAATGAAAGAAATCCAACGGGTGTAGTTCCTACAACTCATTTTAAAGAGTTCTACACTTCTTGCTGCTGCTTTTGTTTTGGCTGCTTTTTCTTCTGTCTCAGCATCGAGTCTCTCCCTCTTTTCAAAGAAGCTCTCCAGAGAAGTTGGTAGTTTTATTCATTTCTTCAGCACTTAGACTGACAGCTCCATTTAACAGCCGGACATGAAAACAGACAGTCAAGCACAGGTGGAAGGGACGGGAAGACGAGCGAGTCATTTTCCAAAATAAAACACCCTTCAGACGCCACCGGAAATAAACCAATAAAGCTTTTTTATTCTTTCTGTGTGGCCTGGTACCAATTGACCCATGGCCCGGTACCGGTCCACGGCCCGGTGGTTGGGGACCACTGTGCTATCACATACGTATCAGAATGGGAGCGCTTAGGATGTGTCAGGAAATATTGTTTAAGACATACCAGCTCTGGCTGGAGGACATTAAATGTCATAGGTTCAGGCGCTGCTATAGATCACCTGGTTGAGCTGGCGTCCCATGTTCAGGGCTGTAGTCCCCGGGTTTGAGTCCCACTCATGGCCCTTTGCTGCATGTCCTCCACTTTCCTCTCTCTCTGTCCTATCTAATAAAAAATAGTAATAATCAAAAAAGCTAAAAAAAAAAAAAAAATGTCGTAGGTTCTGTCATGGTGCCTGTAGCTAGCTAAACTCCCATGATGCTCTGTGTTTGCCAACATGAAACTGCCAAGGGACTCGGGTCACTACAATGTTACACTATAATTGGCAGCCAGATACTACAGTTCTGACGTGTGGAGACAGTTTTCTGACATCTTTTAAATCCTATCTATGGATTTTTTTTGTTAGCCTATTTATAGCTGTTCAGTTGTCAAGCATACACACTGAATTGATTCAAACAACTTTAACATATTGTGTATTATCTAGAAAAAATGGTGTCTTTTTGGGGTTCGGTATCAGCAGCCACTCAATATGAAATGACTTAGATCGGATTTGGGGCAAAAAATTTGATCAGGACATCCCGACAATGAACCACTGCAGAAGAAGACACAACAAGATGATGCTATTAAAAGCTTAAACAATGGAACAACTCATGGAAACATAATGAAAGTCTGACATTTCACACCTCCTATAGAGCCAGTCTATGACCAGCCTGCCACCTGACCCCAGTGACTGCAGGTGGTGGGTCCAACATGTTGTTTCTTTCTGCAGACTCTGAATACCAGATGCCTACCGACAAACACCCCTCTCTATTCTGGCTCCAGGAGGGGGGTTGTATCCTTAATCAAAACAAGGAAGCAGGACTCTGAGGCTGTGAGAATCAGGTAAAAGTGGACTGCTCCTTCCAAAACATCCCAAACCTACCACATTGAGGCTCCTCTGTCTGTAGCCTTAGAGATAGGCTACGAAGCTCAGACATCTGGATTGATTTCAGATTAGAGCCACTGCTCCTTTGTGTTGAAAGGAGCTGGTTTTTCATTGGAGGCTTTCTGTATATTTCCAACTGGTACAAGACCCGAGGTTAGACCCAGGAAATGCTAGAGAGTTTATAAGTCATCTGGCCCAGAAGCACCTCTGGATCCCCCGGGAGAAGCTGGAAAACATTAGAGGGACTTCTTGACTGACTCGTTTACTGCCACTACCACCCGACTACAGATAAATGGCAAAAAATGACTTTCTGTTGCTTTTGATGCGAGCAATTGAGGTATTACTGCAACTTTACACATTTATAAGAGTAAAAGACAAGAATCCATCGTGTCCACTCTGACTGGAGTGTCCTCTGATTCTTGTTCTGCTGATGAAAGCTGGGGAGAGCTGGCATGTCGGCATTTTGGCCAAATAACATCATCTTTGGAAACTTTACATGAATAACAAGTTCAAGTATTTGATTATGTGGGACAGAACAAGCTAAAGAACAGACCTATACCATTTATGGTGAGAAGAGGTGTTATTTTGTGCCCGTGTGTAAATCGTGTAAATCCCTCTTTAGACGCCCAAACATTCCCGTGTGTGCACAGAGAGCAAGATCAAAGGCTGTCTGTGGGCTCCGTCTGCTTTATGGGCTCTCTGTGTGTCTACGTGTTCTGTTTTTTTGTTGTTGTTTTTTTTTTAATATGTAGATGTGTGCATGTATGCCTTTGTGTATCTAAGTGTGTGTGTTCAGGTGTAGACACCAGAATTACAGTATAACATTTCTGCTCATGCTGCGGTTGTTATGCAGTAAATTGTGAAGAAGCAGGGAGTAGTTTCCAACGCCTGTGAGGTGCCAGCCGCAAGGCCAAAGCTCAAAAACAGGAAAAGTTGGGGAAAAACACTTGGCATGATGTCATATGATCCAAGCTGTGAATGTGATAAATGTTTTCAGAGGTGCTGACTGTTCTTCCCTGATGAACACCTCGTGGCTGTAAAATTGGATAAAGTCATTTCCGACTTTAAAGGAGATGCTGCCACATATTTTTTTCATTTGTTATTCAGTAAAGGCTCCTCTGACTTCTGCATCAGGTTAAATTTTTACTTCCAAAGAGCCTGCAGCCAGAGTTGCTGCTCTGTGAGGCTGTGCTTTGTCATGCGACACGTTCTCAGTAGCAACCTGCTGATGTTGAGCAGGGGAAGTGTTGACCGTGTTCACACTGTTGTTTTAGCATGTTAGCATGTTATCAGCAAAGGTAAACACAAAGTGCAATTGAGGAGAACAGGGATGCATTTTTCAGGCAAATCGCATTTGTAAACACTTGAGTTGGATGCTACAGTACTGTTCAATAAGCGCGATCATCACACAGGGCTCCCATACATATGGGCCAGAAGGAACCTCCTCCACCGTCTAGTGGGCTCAGTAGGCCGTTATCACCTCGTTTAATGGTGCTCTGTTATTACCTCATTTAACGGCAGAGGAGCCACAGTTTTGCACTTACAAAGAGGTACAAAAGTCCACATTTAGAGGCTTGAAAGGATGAAAGAAGTGTAAGTCAACGGACTTTCACCCAGCAGACGGTTTGAATCCTGTCTCTTCCCATTCTTATAGAATTATTAATTGACTTAAATCTCCTTTTGACTTTCACTGTGACTTAAACTTTGCGTGTATGTTCTGTTTGTATTTGGTAAGGTTGACTCACAGAAACTAAACTTTCTGTTTAACAATAATCTAGTCCAGACAGACCATTCTTAAGTGCTGATACAGTGCTGTGTAGAATAGTCTGGCTACACCTCATTATCATTCTGCTATCGGCGAAATAAAATCTGTCTTGTTTGTTCTTCTTTAAACCAATCACAATCCTCTTAGGTGGTGTTAACCCGTCATGCAAACCCTTTAAACGAGGGGAATGGAGTCACATGACCTGCAGTTCTTACTTTTGCCACCATCCTGAAACAAAAATCTTGACAGACAAACCTCGCCACTAAGCAGCCGTCTTGGTAACACTCCTGGGTCGTTATGTTAGCAAGGCCAGGTCGGGGAGAGAACCATATCTGCAATTCAAGTGGTCCATGGGACATAAAAACTGCATGTATAGAATCACCAGTTTTCAAAAAAGTGCTAAAAAATAGCAAAAAGCTTGGTGACTTCCCTTCAAACTAAGATTTAAAATGTTATTCTCTTCAGGTTATACTCAGGGTGGGAATGCCTACAGTTTCATTTCACCAACCTGTGACATGCCCAACAACATACCCCAGCTTCTTCCCTCAACTGTACAACAAAGACAGAACAAATGAGTTTAAAGTAGAGAACAATGTAAGAGATGTGTGTGCAAGACATATCCATCCATTATCTATACACCGCTTAATCCTCACTAGGGTCATGGGGGGCTGGAGTCTATCTCAGCTGACTCAGGGTGAAGACAGGGGACACCCTGGACAGGTCACCAGTCTATCACAGGGCTACACTTACAGACAGGCAACCACTCAATCCATTTACACCTACGGACAATTTAGAATCACCAACTAACCTCAGCATGTTTTTGGACTGTGTGGGAGAACCCGGAGAGAACACACGCTGCACGGGGAGAACATGCAAACTCCACGCAGAAAGATCCTGGGTGTCCTCACCGGGATGCGAACCAGCAACCTTCTAGCTGAGAGGCAACGATGCTAACCACCGAGATACCTTGCAGCCCTTGTGCAAGAAATAGAAATCCTAAAATAAGAATAAAAAATGTGGGGCTCCACAGTAAATCTTAAAATGATCTCATGATTCCCTTCGTTGATGTGTAATATTTTGTAAGTTTTAAGGTGGGCCCCGACAACAGTGTGAGTTTTAAACAAATCCTAAGTAAAGTATGACTTTTTCAAAGTGTGAAGAAGTACCTCGGTTCAGTGCCTGCAAAAAACATGTGAGCCAACTGTAATGATTAATGTAAGAGTTTATGTCAAACAGCAGATCTTAATTAACAAACAGAACAAATCACCTTCTTCCATCTGTGCTTTGCAGCTTCTTCCCTCTCTGTTTCGGGCCCTGCAGCGGAGGACGGCGCCCTGGTGCAGCTCAGCCACACGGCCCACCGGAGGGAGAAGCGCTGCTCCTGCGAGAACCAGAAAGACAAAGAGTGCATTTTCTTCTGTCACATCGGCATCGTCTGGGTGAACACCCCGAGGTGAGTCTGCAGGAGAAGAATATGAAAGATTTCAAGAGTTTGTTTTCACAGTAGTGGAACATTAGAGCATTGTGATAAATGTTAGTGCATTAAGATGTGGCAATAAACCAAAAAGAAAAAACACACAATCAATAATCTGCCCAGCACTAGCTGGGAGGTTTCTGTGGGAGGACGGGAGGCATTCACACACAGCAGCTCCGGTCCAACACTAAGATAAGCTTTCGCTGTTTTGCCAAGTCAGTAGTTTGCAGAATAAAATAAATAAGGCCACGGGATTCAACACACAGTCAGTCATCGGTAAAACTCTTAACAAGCCGTGTGCCTGTTTAAAAGATGAGTTTAACCACAACCAGTCCCCAAAAACACACAGCATGTCCAAAAACAGGAACACAAAAGAGAAACAGTCTGCTGAAGTCAAGCTTCCCGTCAATCATATCACACCTTTAATGTTATTATTTGTTTTCAGTGAGTTTGATGTTTCAACCTTTTGTTAAATATTTTAATGTATTTCAGCTTTAGTTGTAGCGTTTCAGGAAAGTTTGATGAACACTTCTGGGATATTTCTGGCTGTGAAAATTGAAAGTGTAAGTTGAGTTTTGATATGACCTAAATGGGTTAAAGGCAAAAAACTATTAAATATTTGGTAGATGAAGCAAAGGTTTAATCACTGTTAGATCGCAACAAGGAGCATCAGAGCTGTTTAGTAACCGATTACATTTATCCAGCTACACGAATAAAGTCAATTGTACCTGCTGAAGTAGTTTTATTGCTGCAAACTTTTTTTTTTCTCTGACTTGAGCAGATTTTAGAGAAAACAGCTTATAATCTGTCCCATCTGGATACCTTCAGCATGCTACTTTCACTATATATTACGTGATGAATGCTCCGGTGAGATGGAGGTCTGCTGGCGCTCTGTTTTCCTATCGCAGCCACACACCCTCATGACCTTATTCACAGCAGTACAGTGGCTGCAGCTACAGCAGGAGATTCAGGTGAAACTGTTTTGTTTTTCCACTGCCAGAGTGCAGCTTTCAAACTGTGCAGCAGGAGAACACTGGTCAGAACCTCTCTGATGTACTGACAGAGGGCAGTGTGTCTGTTGTGTTAACGCTGATGACTTTAAAACGATACACACACACACACACACACACCAGCTACCACTGCTACTGCACACCTGTATTTACCAGACAAGTCAGAATGAACCATCACCTCATCATCCCCTAATGTATCCGACTCTTAAGTATAAACGTTGGCCTTATCTCGACCTTCTGTTCTTTATAGTGAATAAATGTTTTAACATGTCTCCTACATCAGAATTGTGCAGCTGTAAGCGTGTATCGACTGCTTTATGATTGCTTGACTCAGGTGAATAATGTGGACCTCACAGGTCTGACTGAGTTATTCAAGTGTAGGTTTGTTGTCAGAAAAAGCACAGACTGACTGTATATCCTGGAATGGTGTCAAGGTTTAAGTTGCTCTAACATGTTGACTCTCTTTATATTTTCTATTTGGAAAAACAGACACGGTTTGTGGTCCTTCCCCTTAACAAAACACAGATTGTTTCCCCACATTATATTGAAGTAGATCTTATAGTGTAGATATTAAAGACCCTATATGGCAAAAATCCATTTTATTGAGTTTTGTTGTTGGTATGAACTTGGTTGTGTAAAGTTAAAGCTGTTATGATATGAAGACATTTTCTTTTGCCTTTCCTCAAGCACCCCCACAACTTGACAGCGTAGTGGGAGGCTGTCTTAGCAACACTCCCTGGCTAGCTTACATGTATTCGGGCAAATATTTAACAACAAGCGCCGATGCAGTTTCTGTTTGCGAAGACGGTCTTTGCTGCTATTCATTAGCAGCGAAGACGACGGTAGAGAAACTGCATGTTGGGCTTGTTGTTAAATATTTGCCTGAGTACATGTAAGTTAGCCATGTACAATCAACGCAGAGAAACTATAATTTTCCCGCAACATACCCTCGAAAACAACGTAATGGCCCAATTTGGCGTAATGCTAATAACAATAATGGCAGAATTTTTTCAGGCAGCAGCGTAATGGGCTGTTACTCTGTTATAACATCAGCAAGAACCCTGGAGAGCCAGAAGGAATTTTACTGAACTTCTACGCTCCACCTAAGAAGTTAAGAGTTGTCCATCTTTATATAATTCCACCCCTCACTAATCACTGCTTTCAGGTGAACCATTCAAAGCTGTCTCAAAACACACCAACTGTTCTGCTGCTAGCTGCAAGAGTGAACACAACAGTCCTCATGCACACCCAGCACCCACAGAACTAAACATCTATTGGATTACTTTTGTTGTTGGGAATTTATGAATTTCCTTTTTAAAAAAAATCTGTTTGTATTTAGATATTTCTTTTAGTTTTTCTTGTTGAGCAATGATGAAACAGACACTGAGCCATTTCCAATCTGCTGCTCTGCACCGTTCAACTACGACTAATAATTTTAACTGCAATATTGTCTATCAACCAAACGCATGAGACAAAAACAATGGCAGAGCTGTGATTTCCATGTAAAATGACCTCTCAAAGAGAAACTTAGAAGTGATAGAAACTCCTGATTATAAACACTGATTCATGCCCATGTCTGCTGCTGTGCGGATGTTTTCTCCGCTCTGTCAGACGTCTTCTTCCTGAATGGGCCGTTTACAGCAGCAGCTCAGTTGCATTTGAAGTTAGACATTGAAACAGCATGTTTAGAACAGGACTAAAACCAAGAGTTATACAGTCATGGTAAAACGAACCATGTTTGCAATGTTAATTAAAAGAGACACATTCTGGGGATGTGTGGGACCTTCACTGGGTTGCTGGAAAGCGGCACATTGTGGCAAAACAGACAGAGCAAAACAACTGATACAGCGCCTCTGACAAAAGATTTTTTTGGGTTTTTTTGCCATGCTTGAATGCTACAGACTAATTTGTTAGGGTCATATGATCTGTAAACACCTCTTTACATTTAACTGAGGAGACCCCCCTGTGAGACAACATCAGTCATATCTGTATCAAATATAAGAAATGCATTTTTTTTTTTTAGTTATTTGCTTCTTAAGCCGGCTTTTCAGTGGCTGCTTTTGCGCTCTAACTCAACAACAGCGCTTTTATTTGAGTCCACTTTTTTGGCTGATTCCAGAAAGTGACAATGTTGTGCCATGATGGGAAAAAGTTGGATGTTTCTCCAGTAAGTCTTTACTTGTCCAGTAGTTCATATTTTTAAGCTGCCTGGCCCTAAATAGGAACCAGGCGCTCAGCTCTCTTCACAATTGGTAGCAATTAACTTCATTTTAGTTCAGTATGCACAAGCAATGAGTAAGCAGTTAGATGTGGCAGAGCTAATAAGAAAGCGCACCTTTCCTAAGGAAGGGTAATTTCTGCCATGTTTCCTCTCGCTGCTTCTAAATAGCCTGTTTTAACCCTTTAAAACCAACCCACCGAAGAGACCACAAAGAGTCTCAAATCATTATGGTGGGACCCTGATCTGCCACAACCAGTTAACTCCTCACAGCCTGTTCCCATTTGAAGTACTTCATAAGCCAAGGTCACGTTAAACTGTTGTCTGGAAATAAGACAGATTTGTGAGAATGCCTGATTTTGCTCCTGTTGAAAATGAAGGTCCAGGAATTAAAAAGAAAAAAAATGGAAAAATGTATTGTACAAAGATGGTTGGTAACAACAGCCTACTTCAAAATGAACTTTATTTTAGTAGAACTTAGTAGTTTGTCTGCATTAATCTTTTTCATTTATATCAAAACCTATGTGATTATATTTAACAAAACTATATTGCTTAAGGGCATACTAGACTGTAGGTTTTTTTCTTCATGTCATGCCACCAAGTCACATTTGAAATTAATTAACTTAAGGGACAGAAAAAGAGGTGTCACCGAAATAGCTTCCAGAGATTAGCCAAAAACCGCTCCAGCAGTGGTGGGACCGTCTCAGATTGTTGGTTTAGTCTAAACATAGCAGTGTGGTAAAATGGAATCTTCCTGCCTTCACCATAAAGATGCTTTAAACAGCAGTGGCAGTGCCCACCGTCACTAACTATGCCACTAAATCCTGTGGGCGACAAGGAGCTCCTGACTACTGCTTTCTTCTTCAACACATCCTGCTAAAAATACCCCTTTTTATGTAATATGCAAACCAGCCAACATGTGCTTGACACGGTGGGAAGCCTTGAGATGTCCTCCATCCCCATGTACAGTACTCATGAGACGTGTACATGTCAAAGTCTGATATATCTTTTTTCTCTGTGCTGTAAAGTTCAGCTGTCCAGAAATATGTTCCTTCATGAGCATGAATACACACACTGTAGTTTATATCCGTCTTACGTACACCGTCCTGCTGCCACAGACCAAATGTGGATTAATCCACTGCAGAAAATTGTTCCCAATAAATGCACCATGTCCTCCTATTGGTTTGCCAAAAACTACAATGTCCTGCTGTTTGAGGAAATGATCAATTATCACATTATTAAAACCAAAACTCTATAATTGTGAGGTGTTTTTAATGATTCACACCATCAGTAGGAACCACTGGGTTTGGGCTCAGAGCCACACACAGAGGAGGGAAGTCAGAGAACTCAGCGCGACACATTCGACACATTTCTGGTATTTTTGTGGGCTCGCTGAAAACAAAACAAAAATGTGTGAATGTTGTTGATGTTTTTCAAGTCAGATTTTTTTCCCCTCGCAAGTGTAAAACCAAACACAGGAATCAGTTTCGGCATCAGTTACAGACAAATGTCTGTAAACATCCAAAAAGGCTGCTGTCCAAACTAAAGACAGACTAATTGATAACAGCAAGCCGCCTCCAGGATAAAATCCACCTTTGATGAATTCAAACAAGGATAGTTTATTTAACATCTGCTATTTGGTGGTCACGTTTGCTTTACAGAAAGCCAACAATGAAACATTTTTTGTTCTTGGCGGACACCACTGCAAATGTGAGCCAAATTTAAACTGTGTAAAAATGTGCCTCGATATT